AATGTTTAACCACCACCAGCTCGTTTGCGCCCTAACCCTAACCAAGCAGTGGCAAAAGTGCATCGTCGCGATGCTCATCGTCTTCGGGCGTTTATCACTGCTGACTGAACCAATCACGTAAAGAGGAACCGCCGCGATCCAACGCTTTTTTTCTTTTGGCGTCTGTGTGCGCGATTGGTTTAGCCAGTGACGGCAAACCCAGAAAGACAGCGAGCGCAGTGACGTTGCACTTTTGGAGCCGATTGATTGGCTCAATTGAATCGTAGCATATTGGCTGCGGACGGACTCGATCTAAAACAGAGTACAGTTGCGCCAATCCCGGATATCTTTGGAAGAGATGGGTCACGCTCTCCGAGAGACGATTAACTGGTTGAATAAAGTCCGCCTCTCCGACAAGATCTCTCCCTCGTAAAGCGAACGGTGAGCTCCGTTACTATAATTGGGCATTCGATCAAAACTTGGCAAACCGCAGTTTAGTTCATGCAAATTAAATTGAAATAGCAACTTTGTTATATGCTACCTGATTTTAATTTAATTTTAAACAACATCGAAAGAAAATTGGTTACCTTGGGTGTCTTCATTGATTTTTCAAAGGCTTTCGACCGTCTTAATTATAAAACTCTACTTCAGAAATTAAATGCATACGGGGTGCGAGAGTATCCTCAACAATAATCGAGAGTTTTTCTTTGTTTCTTTTTTTTTTTTTTTAATCGCTATCAGTGTGTCGTGATAGACGGTCACCGCTCTAGCTTAAAGAAACTGACGTCAGGGTGCTGGAGGGGAGCTTCCTTGGACCCGTTCTGCTTAACTTGTACATCAATAATATGGTAAATAAAGACAATCGTGCAGATTTCATAATTTACGCAGATGACACCAGTTTATTCTTTTCGGGGAAAATTGTCCACCAGGTTTTACGTGCGGCAAATAGCGTTCTGTAGAAAATAAGTGACTGGACAATCTCAAACACTTTAGTAATTAATACAGATAAAACGAAAGCAATACTTTTTCCATCCAAAAATACAGTGTTTTCATCTACTCAAGGACTCTCTCTCCAAGGACAAAATATTGACTTTGTACAAAATGTGAAGGTTCTTGGTGTGATAATCAATGAGTACATGAGCTGGGACGTCGAAGTACAATATATAGCTGGCAGACTTTCAAGCGTTGTGGGTATTATTTATAAATCCCATCATATACTACCTCTTTCGGTCTTAATCCTTCCTTATAACTCCCTCTTTAACTCTCGCTATAATTACTGATTCCTTTGTTTGGGGTGGCACAACGGTTCCAAATATGCACCACTTGCATGTTTTCCAGAAGAGAATAATCCGAATTATGTGCAACGCGGAGGTGAACGCTCACACATTACAACTTTTCAAAAACCTTCATATAGTTCCAATTACAGAACTTTAGAATTATAATCTTCTTCTAACATATCAAACGTCTGTAAGGCAAAATCAACTTGTTTTTCTATGTCACAGGTTTGCTGATGTTCTCTGTTTAAACACAAAGGACTGCCGACCAGGCGATAGGTCCACGCCTCGGTGGAATCTTGTCAAGGAAGGGGAGACCACAGTTTTGCAACGAAACGAATTTAATACTACAAACAAAACTAAACAAAAACAAAAAAAACACAAAGAAGGTTAACAAGTGCCGAGCTGAGAAACAACAGGACTCGAACGCACTTTACCCGGCCGGGGCACGAGCGGCGAAGATAAAATCCCTCAACACACAACGAATTAGGCAAAACCCAAAGTCTACCGCTCATTACAATGCATTAACCATCTCTTACGCGAGAGCTTCCCCGAACATGGAAAAAAAATACCAACTTCGGAGCTTAAATGTGATCAAATAATAGAATGGGACACCCGTGAGAATAAAAACCAACTACAGAAATACCGCTTCCTTAATTCTTATAAAGAGGAAAGTGCGAGTGGAGGGGAAATCTCGTCTCACAGTGTCCGGGAGTGACGGTCTTGCGAGGCGCTGTCCGAAGGGGGAAGGAATGGTCCCGGTGGTACCACGGTGGGTTGGGCGGCTTGAAGCGGCCTCACAATCACACGCACACACTTCGTCGTCGAAGTCTTCCCCAGTCCGGACCTGGCCCGCTAGCGTCGAGCTCCACGGACTCGGCGCTTCGATTCCCCGCCTGTTGCTTCCGAGTTTCCCGCTCACACTGCCCGCCTTTGCCCCAAGGAGTCCCCCTGGACGGGCCCCCGCCTTCCAGCACGCAGGCGTGGAAAACAAAACAAAAAGAAACCCCAGGACGCTGGCCCGCTCGTCCCTTCATCCTCCCCCAAAGGGAGCATCGCTTCGTTTTCGGGGGAGCTGGGTCCCAGACCTCACACCCCGCGAATTTCTCGGAAGGACGCGTCTGGCCCGGGAGAATGGATAACGTAACACAGTCGAATTTTGTGACATGAATAACGTAACATAGCCGGATTTTGTGACACTGCCCCTCACTTAAAGGGGCACTGACACCCCAAAGGTCGTATTTATTTTTATTGTCTAAAACGATGCAAGTTGCAGTCATAGACACGCAAAAAAAACCGCATCGCGAAAAAAAATTTTCCCGCGCGCGCGCGCGCCTTTTTATTTTTGGCGTTTGATTTTCCCGCGTCTCGCCTCCTCGCTTCTTTTGATCGGTGACGTCAAGAATCATGAAATTTAGAAGCTTTGTAGGTGACATCTCTATAACATTTAATTACGGCAATCCTAAAACATGTTTTTTAACGCAATTGCGAACGCACTACGGCCCTTCTTTTTGAAATACCAAAAATCGGGAGTTCGTTGTGGTGCCGTCTCCTGGATTTGTATCCTCCAACGGAAAACAGGCGACACCGCTCAAAACCGGTCCGCCGCAACGCCGGGCGCTCGCTCCTTTCCCCCTCGCTTTGGGTCGCCATGGCAACAGCAGGGAGTGGTGAAAGGAAGTCGACTCTCAGGTCTCCGCGATTTTTGACGTCAAGGCACCGACGCCGATCGCGCGGGAACTTCGAATTCGGCATTTGGAAATTGTTTTTTTACTTCACGAATACTGAATTCCCAAATCTCAAATTTTGAGGGTAATGTCCCGGCATCGTTTTCAATCGTTTCGGATAATAAAAAAAAATATGATTTTGATGTGTCAGTGCCTCTTTAAGAAGATTCACCCGTGAATATTTAAACTAACTCTTCACAAAAACTCGGCGAACAATATCGCACGAAAAAAAAAAAATCATGAGTACATATACTAAGCAAACCAAACTGCGCTCCGTATGAGATATAGTCGTGCACATTCCAACAGTGGGAAGATTTCATACTCGCAGGATACAAACGAAGTACGGAGTAAACATAACGTACATATACTGACTTAATAGAGAAAAACAAAGCCTTATTAGTGAGGCGGACTTACAAGCGGCTTAGGAAATCAGCGCCCACATTTTCGCTGCCCTTGATATGTTCGATCGTGAAAGGAAATTCCTGCAAGAGGAGGCTCCACCTCAGCACTCTACTGTTCAGATGCTTCGCCTTGATGTACTTCAGCGGCTGGTGGTCGGTTTGTACGAGGAATTTCCTACCGTAAAGGTATAGACTGAATTTCTGCACTCCACAGACCTATGCCAAGCACTCCCTTTCGATGGTGCTGTAGGCGGCCTCACGAGCAAGCAGCTTCCGGCTCGTGTAAGCCACAGTATATAAGCGGCTGTCATGCTGCTGCATTAACATAGCTCCGAGACTTGTGTCGGAAGCATCGGTCCTGAGGACGAAGTTTTTTCCAAAATCTGGGAGTCTCAGGATCGGCGGATTTGCGATCCGTTCTTTCAGCTCGTCGAACGCCGACTGATGAGCGGTCCTCCACTCAACCTGGTTCCTTCCCTTTTTCTTCGTGAGTTTCGTTAGCGGCCCACTGATCTTTGCGTAGTCGGGAATAAAATCCCGGTTGTATCCCGTCAGTTCGAGGAACGCCCGCACCTGGCGCTTGGTGGTCGGCACACTCGCCTTCTCGATTTTGTCGAGCGTCTTTCCGAGGGGGGCGAGCTGTCCGTTTCCGATGCGGTGACCCAGAAAGTCAATTTGTTCCATCCCAAACTCGCACTTGGTTGGGCGAATGGTCAGCCCCGCTGCTTGGATACGGCCGAACAGTGTCTGCAGTGCAGTGAGGTGTTGCTCCCGGCTGTCGGTAGCCACCAACACATCGTCGTAGTAATGGGCCACGTCTGGGATTCCATCCACCACCTTCCGCATCAGTTTGGCAAATACCGCCGGAGCGGTCTTGACCCCAAATGGCATGTACCGAAAATGGTACAGTCCCGAAGTCGTCGAAAATGCGGTCTTGGGCTGGGAATCGTCGCTGAGTGGGATCTGCCAGTAGCCCTTCACGAAATCCATCTTTGAGAAGTAGCGTTTGTTTCCGACGTCGGTGAAAACGGCGTCGACTCGTGGCATGGGTTCGGAGTCTGGAACTAAGACGCCGTTTAGACGTCTGAAATCGACGCACAGCCGATTTGTTTCGTCGGGCTTCTTGACGAGCAGGACGGGTGCGTTGTACGCAGAGCTGGATTTTTCTATTATTCCGAGCCTGAGCATTTCCTGCACCTCTTCCTCAACCTTCGTGTGGGTCGCAAATGGCAGTGGGTATTGTCGCACATATATCGGGGTATCTGTAGTCTGCTTCAGCTCGCACTGCATCCATGTAGTCTTTCCCGGAACGTCGGAGAAGATGTCCTCATGGCTGCGCATTACGCGGTCGAGCTGCGACTTTTGCTCCGCATAAGCTTTGATGAAACTTTCGCGTCTCCGGGGCCTTCCTCTCTCTGGAATGCTGGTAGAGGGATCGGCTGGTCGTCTTCGGTTTCCGTCAGTGAGAGAACCGCGCAGGCCTGTTGCTCGTCTTCCTTCTCGATTCCTCACTCCTCGTATTTCTTCAGGAAGTTAGCGTGGAACAATTTCAGGCCGGTCGCGGTCTGGATCTCGTAGTCGACCTCTCCTGTTTTTCTCGTAACGAGGAAGGGCCCCTTTCACTGCAGCAGAAGTTTGTTGTTGTCCGTGGGGAGGAGTAGGAGCACCTTCCCTCCCGGCTGGAAGCTCCGCTCCTTGGTTTTCCGGTTGTAGTACCGGGCGTAACGAGCTCCCGACCTCGCGAGTTCCTCGTGGGCGATTTTGCACGTCTCCTTGAGGCGATTTCTGAGGTCGAGCACGTGCTCATAGGTGGTCAGGAGCTTTGCGTCGAGCTCGACGTTGGTCCATATCTCTCTCAAAATGGCTAGCGGGCCCCGGACGTGGCGACCGTACAACAATTCAAAAGGCGAAAAACCGAGGCTCGCCTGCGGCACTTCCCGGCAGGCAAACAGCAATGCGGGCAAATACCGGTCCCAATCCTTGGGTCTCTCGGAGCACATTCGCTTCAGCATGAGTTTAAGTGTTCCATTGAACTTCTCCACCAATCCATTTGCCATGGGGTGGTAGGGGGACGTGTGCAACTGCCTTATCGACAGGAGCCGGCTGATCTCTTTCATTAGCTAGGAAGTGAAATTCGAGCCCCGGTCGCTTAATATCTCTCGTGGCATTCCGACCCGCGCGAACATCCTTGACCAGGGCTTCTGCCACTCTTTCGGTCTCGATGCTGGGCAAAGCCACGGCGTCCGGGTAGCGAGTCGCGTAGTCTACCATTCTCAGTATGTACCGGTTCCCTCGGCCCGAAACCGGGGCAATCGGTCCCACGATGTCGATAGCAACCCTCTGAAATGGGGTATCTATTAAGGGGCTCCCACCCAGTGGGACGCGAGGGACTTTTCCCTTCTATGTTGTTCGCTGGCACACGTCACACGATAGCACGAACCGCCGTATGTCTGAACCCAATCCCGGCCAGAAGAACTCTTCCAGGATACGGCTCTTCGTTTTCAACTGCCCCAGGTGTCCCGCCATAATGCTTTCATGGGCAACCTGCAGCACAGTTTTTCGGTGGGCTTGAGGCACCACGAGCTGGCGCGTCTCTCTCCCCCACCGCTCCCGGTATACTCGATAAAGAAGCCCTTGCCCCTCTCCGGTTGTGTAAGTGATTGTGGCCGTCTTTCCCCTGGCCTTTTCCCCAATCCGCTTAAAGCAGGGGCGCAGGGTGTCATCCTCTTCCTGCTCCTTTGCAAAGCCCGGCGTGTCGATGGTCAGCCCTTCGATTTGAGGCACGTGTTGTTTTTTCAATCCAGTTTCTTGTTTCTTTCTCTGGGTCCTCGTTTCCACAGCACACGCCGGAGTTAGGGGATCTTCCACTTCCGCCCGGGTTTCGCGTCCTGGCTCGTCCTGTGTGTCGCGTTCCGCCGGGTCCTGCCGCACTCGCTCGGTCGGTATCGGGTCGTCCCCCACCCCTACATCAGTCGCGGGGTCGTCCGGTTCTCTAGCGCCGGGAATATTGCCGAGCACGAGGTCGTACAGGGGCCCGTCCATGCACAGGGCTTTGAGTCCTCCGTCGAAGTAGGGCGTTTTAACGTGGATATGGGCCTCGGGAAGCATTTTCACGGTTCCATCGACGAGATACACCAGCCTCTTGGTTCCAGTGAGGAGGCCGTCGTCGACCAATCCTCGTCTTACGATGACCGTGTTACTCCCCGTGTCGCGCAGAACCGTTATCTTTTTCTGTCCGATTACGCCCTCAACGACTGGCATTCTCTCGACCAGGAACTTATGGCGCGGGGTCATTACCGCGTTGACGACCGGAATTTTCGTCCCATCCTTCAGCTCTAAGAACCCATCCGTGACGTTTCTGTCCTTTCTGTCTTGTCGGGGCATATAGATGCCCGACGCCTGAGGTTTCGTCTGGCCCCGGCAGACCTCCGTCTTATGTCCCTTCCTGCCACACCTTTGACATGTGGGCACCTGTCCGGTGCTGTACAGGCTACGACATTGTGCAGCTTTGTGCCCCGTCTTATTACAGAGGTAGCACCTAATAGCAGGCCTCGGAGGCCCGCCCCTCTCGCTACTTTTCTTCGCTGAGGGTTCGGCCTCGTTTTTCCAGGCTTTCCCCAGCTTACTATGACCTTGCGCGTCCAAAAATTGGTCTGCCATCTCCAACAGTCCTTCCAAATGCGGCTGTTTTCTTTCCTTCGAGTAGCTGGCCAGTGCTGGATGACAACCCTTTAAAAACTGCTTTTTGATGACCAGCTCCCGGAGACCTTCAAAATCTTTGGTCACTGCGGCCAGCTCGACCCACCGGTTGAAGTAGTGGCCGAGCCTGGCGGCGGATTGAGTGGCCGTCTCTCCATCTACTGGCTTCCCATCACGGAATTTATCGCGAAAGCCCTCAACGGTGAACCGGAACCTCTTGAGTAGTGAGGCTTTCACTTTGCCGTAATCGGCGGCATCTACGGGCGGCAATCGCCCAAACACACTGAGGGCTTCCCCCGTGAGGCACGTGCTTAGGGCGGTGGCCCATTGGCTCTCTGGCCACTTTTGACTTAAGGCAATTCCCTCAAACCTTCTTATATAAGCGTCGAGGTCGTCCTTCCTTTCGTCGAAGGCGAGTAGGAGCTTGTTCGGATTCAATTTCAAAACGCTCTGAACCTCGCCGTCAGTTCCTGCTCCGGATGAGCGGTTCCCCTCCTTCTTGTTCTCAAGCTCTAGCCTCAGCCTCAATATCTCGAGCTCCCTCTCGGCGGCTGCTTTCGCCGCCTCTTGTTCCCGCTCGGTAGCCTCCCTAGTAGCTTCTCGCTCTAGGGGCTCTCTCCTCTCTTTGTTTGGCGGTCTCTTCCTCTATCCACCTTTTTAGTTCGGCTCCCGAGAGGTCTAGTTTGGTTCCCAGGGCCACGAGTTTTTCAATCTCCATGTCTGGTCTACCCAAGCTCGCCGCCGGGCGAACTGCGGAACTACACTTCCCTCAAACCACGCGGTTTCTACCCGCAGCCCTCCAAAGGCAAGTCTCCACCATAATCAGCCAAGTCCTGTCGCGGACGCAAGTTTTGTCACAGGTTTGCTGATATTCTCTGTTTAAACACAAAGGACTGCCGACCAGGCGATAGGTCCACGCCTCGGTGGAGTCTTGCCAATGAAGGGGAGACCACAGTTTTGCAACGAAACGAATTTAATACTACAAACAAAGCACAACAACAACAAAAAAAACGCAAAGAAGGTTAACAAGTGCCGAGCTGCGAAACAACAGGACTCGAACGCACATCACCCGGCCGGGCGGCGAAGATAAAATCACTCAACACACAACGAATTAGGCAAAACCCAAAGTCTACCGCTCATTACAATGCATTAACCATCTCTTACGCGAGAGCTTCCCCGAACATAGAAAAAAAAAAAAACAACTTCGGAGCTTAAATGTGATCAAATAATAGAATCGGACACCCGTGAGAATAAAAACCAACTACAGAAATACCGCTTCCTTAATTCTTATAAAGAGGAAAGTGCGAGTGGAGGGGAAATCTCGTCTCACAGTGTCCGGGAGTGACGGTCTTGCGAGGCGCTGTCCGAAGGGGGAAGGAATGGTCCCGGTGGTACCACGGTGAGTTGGGCGGCTTGAAGCGGCCACACAATCACACACCCACACACTTCGTCGTCGAAGTCTTCCCCAGTCCGGACCTGGCCCGCTACCGTCGAGCTCCACGGACTCGACGCTTCGATTCCCCGCCTGTTGCTTCCGAGTTTCCCGCTCACACTGCCCGCCTTTGCCCCAAAGAGTCCCCCTGGACGGGCCCCCGCATTCCAGCACGCGGGCGTGGAAAACAAAACAAAAAGAAACCAAACCCCAGGACGCTGGCCCGCTCGTCCCTTCATCCTCCCCCAAAGGGAGCATCGCTTCGTTTTCGGGAGAGCTGGGTCCCAGACCTCACACCCCGCGAATTTCTTGGAAGAACGCGTCTGGCCCGGGGAATGGATAACGTAACACAGTCGGATTTTGTGACATGAATAACGTAACATAGCCGGATTTTGTGACATTCTATCAATCGCCAATGTGAAGCGGAGGGTGCCTCCATATGCAGGCCGTTGTGTTGACACATGGTCAACGTCTTGCTCGAGAACAGGCTACGGCCTCTCGATGCTGCAGTGCTCGTTGCCTAATGTTATAGATAGTGCACATAGACTGGGCACAGATTTTACGAGTTTGAGCAGAAAGGATATTCGGTCATTGTTTCTCTAGTGTTGTTTGTGCATATTCTTGATGGGACCCCCGACCTGCAAGAAATGTTCGTGATGTATGTCATATTTTTTCTTTCTTTTCTGTTTAATGTTGTGTGTTTTGCGCCTATGTAAACCTTGTTTAGCGAGTCACTAGTACACTCTAAAAAAAGTCCGTGCGTCTACTTTCCCGCACAACACTCGGAGGCTTGCATTCCTTAATGTCCCAACTCAGACTGCGTTTTTGGTCTAAACATATGTTTCGGCATCGTCATTCACTGAGCTGCCTCCGTAATTTGCGGTGATTGGCTCTCCGAGTGTTGTGCGGGAAAGCAGACGCACGGGATTTTTTTGGAGTGTACGTAAAATGGTTTATCTTGATGCTGGTGGGGAGGAGAAACTTTGTCAAGCGACAACAGTCCGCTTTTTTTTTTCTTCCTCCCCCTCTCCCCTGGAGAGAAACACCGTATTTATTCGAGTAATAGCCGCACTATTTATGAACAAGGCCCTTGCTTCTGCTTTCCCGCAAAACACATATACACCCAATCAACGCGTTGCGCATAAATTACATAGCGAATAACTAGATCGAGAACACGATTCTTCATACAAAGGCAATCTTCACAGATGGTATCTTCGCGCGAAGACGTTATCTCTGTCCGGTAAACAGCTGGAACCATGCTGTCGATCGCGGTGATCGGCAATTCGCGTGCTCCGCGGAAAAGCGAACCCCCAGGCTTTCTTCATAAACAGTGCCGCTATTACTCGAGTAAATACGGCAATAAAGTTGAAGTTGAAGAAGTACCAGAGGCGGATCCAGAGGAGGCCCCCGAAAAAAAGCCCCAGGATTAAAAAAAAAAAGGGGGGGGGGGGGGGGGGGTGGGGGGCGACAGAGAAGAAACACTCGCTGCACACCTCACTGCATGTTGGATTTTTGTTTAAACGCGCGTATGAACCTCCTTTCCACTCGTTTTTTCTATCGGCATTTCGGGCACGTGGAGGAGAGGCGGATCGGTTTGGCCATCACGTTGACGTGGAGAGAGTGGATGACCATTCCGTGACGTCATAAACTTTGCGGGCAGAATTTAAAATAAATCTCGTGCCGTCAATATTGCTCTAAAAAATTATTACTTTTTTTTTGCGTAAAATTAATTTTTCGACATGAGTGTCCCAACCAGACAGTTAAAAAAAAATTCTTTCTTTTCAGGGGGTAGCGTCTCTTGAGTGGAGCCACCATGGGGAAGGTGGAGAACTGCATTCTCTATTGAGCTCCCACGAGCAACGCCCTTCTATATCTTTCTCTTACGCTTTTCGTTACTTTGGGAATGCTTTCTGTTGCAATCAGTTTTAGAAACTTTTCAGCCTTCTCTGTCATATTTGTTAACTTCCAAGCAAAGGGGAGCAAAGCGAAACTAAAAAGGGAGGCTATGGCTGGGCGGCCCAACATGTCGTGCCGGTCGCATCCTACGGCAATTTCGAGACATAATGACCAGGGATGCGAAGGCAGCTAACGCGAAATTAATGCGCACACTCGTAAGGGTATCCAAGAAGAATGGCACTTGCAAACGTAACGGCCGAAAAGGCCCATGATTTGAGGACATATCAACAAGGTTCCACTGTAACAAGATTCCACTGTAACAAGGTTCCCCTTTCGACTCACCTGGACGTGCCTGGAGAGCAGGGGCATGTAGTGGGGCAGAGACACGTAGTGAGGAATGTCGGACAGGGCCGAGATGGCATACATGTCCGGGAACCGCTGCGACATGGTCTGAAAGCATGTGCAGGCCTTCGATAAACCACCATGGAGACCCTAAAGAAAATATGCCACCCGAAGTTTCTGTCCCCGACTAAACGCCGCAGCCGCTTAATGCCAGCAACCATACTTGATTTTCCTTTCTCGTTCGTCAACAACATTGGCCTCTCAACCCGACGGGTCAAATTGTTTCACAGTTCGACCACCTCCACGCAGAAACCCAAAACTTCCACAAAATAAAAAATGTCAAGCCCAGGAAAAAAAAAAAAAATTTAGACACGTGTGCATGCGTTCAACTTGATACACCCGCCAGAAAAAACAACGTGCCTTACCCGATGCTACAAATAATGCCACGGAACTAGAGCGAGCGTCGTGAACGGCCAGTCAGTCTGAAGCATTACTTGCAGCCCAAGTTTATTCACAGACTTAGAAACAGCATTTATACATAGTGTTTAAGAATGGTGTGCAGATAAGTGAGTATCAAACAAGCAAGAGCCAGGAAGGACGGTACATTATACTAAAACTAGCCCATAGGTTGTCAAACTCGGTTCTTAGGAGATTCCTAGGGCCCTATACTACGGCAGGACCAAATGGAACCAAGAGACAGGGACAAGGCCGTCTGCTGCGATTGGTCAGTGCCGTGCCGCTGACCAATTGCAGCAGACGGCATTGTCCCTGTCTCTTCATCCCACTTGGTCCTGCCACGAAGCCTAGAGACCCTGGAGTACCTCCTAAGCTTCTGAACACCGTTTATTTCATTTTCCTTTTTATATTCGAAATATTTTTGGTTATTTTTGGCTAAGGTTTTCCCAGTTTAAGCACTATTCCAGCAGACTTAAGCCACCATCGATGCACAACTACAAGCAATATACTTCCCAGTACGTCCATTATTGTTCGCAAGCTTCGTAGGCTCACGAACTGCCTTACTACCTCAGTGCCAAGATCGGGAGAGGTTCCTCGGCTATCGGTGAGGGCAGGTAAGGGCATCTCGAGATTTAAAAGTTCGAGTGGTAGAAAACGTTTGTCTGGATTGTTTCGGGGCGACAGAGAGAGGGGAACAAGTCGACCTGTTCCCCATACCGGACTTCGGAGGAGCCTCCAGGAACGTTGCCCACTCACCACGGTGGGCGGCAGAGCCAGTGCCAGCGGCGGGAAGTGGTGTATTCGTGGCGGGGTGGGCGGATGGTGGTAGTGGTGTTGGTGGATGTGGTGGTGCAGGTGGGCGTGGCCAGGCTCGCCACTGCAACAAGTGGGGGAAAGGGAACACGTTAGAGCGGCCATGGCGCATTCGCTGCTTCTGGGGGCACTTTCGAACAGTGTGGGGTGCCCAAACACCGCATTGAAATGCCGCAAGTTCAAGTTGCAAGATGTTTCTGAAAAAAAAAAAAAAAAAAAAAAACTAAAACCGCCGCGGTCGCAGACAGAGAATGAGAACGAAAACGGCAGGGCACGTCTTTCGAAAGTCCAAACCTCCAGCACGCATGCCATGCCTTCCACTCCACTTACACCGAGGGGCATGCCTTCTACTCTTCTTCGGCTGCGCGCGTGCTTGAGCTGCGAAAAGCTTTGAAGCGTCGTCGAAGGTAGGAAGCGCGCGCCGGAGACTGTGGGAGCTTCCTACCCCAAGCGGGCGCAAGCCGTGAATGCGACGGCCGGGCGGCTTCTAACTTGCTCTTTCCGTATTGTGCCCGCAAGAGTTCGCCACCCCGCCGGCCTACTTTCTCACTCCCCTGCACGGCTCCAGTCTCGGGGGACCCGCAAAGGATCGTTCGCTCGGAGTTGACATTCCCTCCTCCAAAAACAGCCGTCTGGTTGGGAGTCCCGGAGTAGACTCCGGGCGACGGGTCGAGTAGCCACGCGAGCTTGTCCGACCGTGGTGTCTCGTTAGCGACCCCCTTTCCCCATAAATGCCATTGCACACCGGGATCATTGGCACGGTGTTGGCAAACCCGGTGCGGTGACTGCCCTCACCGGTAGCCGTCGACCGTGCGGTGGGACGGGTGTCAGGCTCCCATCAAAAACCGGTCCCCGTATACAAAGGTACGTAATGCCCACAAGGCCAAGCGACTGAAGCTACTTCGAGGCATGGCAAACAAAATTTTGAATTTCTTCATGGAGACGAGCGTGCAAATATAAGGCATCGGTATAAAATAAATAGTTGCTAAAAGCCCGACCTCCACACGAAGAGCCTCCACGTAAAATAAACATCCTCCTTTTTTACTTTGGTATCCCGAAGGAGACCATAGTAAGAAAATTTCTTTATAGAACACTAGGTTCATCCGGGACAGGTCTACTGTATAAGGAAAGAGTATGTGCTCGCTTAAAAATACGATCGATCACCTAAGAAACACTTTTTACTCTACCGGGTGATTCAAGGAGACGGCAGGCTCTTTAAATCGACCGGAAAATTCGGTTTCTTAACCTATCGCGCTAAAACTTTGTGCAGCGTTGCCCACAGATAGTGCATTTTTTTGTAAAATTTGCAAAGAGCGAACTTACCTGAGGAAAAAGTAAAGAAAGAAAAAGGCTTAGCTCCTATGGAAACGCAGCGACGCCACCGGTCTGCAAACAACAAGGCGCCGTTTCGCACGGGAGACAAGAGATGGCGCAAGCGGTCACGACGCCAACGAACGAGCAGGCGACGCCGAGAGCCGGCGTATTTAGCAGACAAGGAACTGCAGTTCCTTGTTGTTACCGTGCTTGTTTTTGCTTCTGCGACTGTCGCCGCCCGCGGAACGCGCTCTCCTTGAGAGTCGAAAAGATTGTCTGCTAAAGACGCTGGCTCTCGGCGCCGTATGCTCGTTCGTTGGCGGCGTTCGTTGCGCCATCTCTTGTGTACCGCGCGAAACGGCGCTGTGTTGTTTGAAGACCGGTGGCGTCGCTGCGTTTCCATAGGAGCTAAGCCTTTTTCTTTCTTTACTTTTTCCTCAGTAAATTTGCTCTTTGCAAATTTTACAAAAAAAATGCACCATCTGTGGGCAACACTGCTCAAAGTCGTAGCGCGATAGGTTAGGAAACCAAATTTTCCGGTCGATTTAAAGAGCCTGCCGTCTCCTTGAATCACCCGGTATAATAGATAGATACCATATTTTGGTGGTAATTCAATAAAGTAATTTAGATACTTCTCTAGTAATTTGTACTGAAATTGGATACTTTTGTCAGTTTTTCGTAGCTGTAATTTATTACGACTTGAATAATTGTAAAATATGAATTACAGTAAGAAGTAAATATTTTATGATTTATTTTTCACTCTGGAGCATTGTTCTTTAGTCGGTCAAAGGCAAAAATATATCGAGTGTCAACCTCCTTGCTTTTTGGCCAATTCGTCAGACTTTCGGCGTGCCGAGATCGTGCCAGGGTGTTGACCTGGAGCTAAAAGAAATGACGAGCACTTTTGCCGAGCATTATTAGATATGAGAACAGACAGGGTTAACTGGGTGTTCAGACCGTGCGCGATGCCACCACATCTTATTCTGCACGAGGCAGGCGGCAATGCACAAACTTCTGCCGTCTCGTGCCCCGCACTCGTGGAGCAGCTGCAAGGTTGTTGCACGTGCAGAAAGACTAAAGTTCCCTCAATGGACCACCGCGGCGGACGCATCGCTACAGCAAAAGCGTAGCCAAACCGGTTGACGATATCGGTCAATTGTTGCGCGTTTGCTTTCCTCACTACGCGAGTTTATTACGAGGATTTCACAGATGACGTTGAGACGAACCTTTGGCGCCATAAAGGCCTGTCTAAAGGCTCGGTAAGGAATAAGGGAGAGCTGTCGACTATCTGTCGCAGTCCTGCTCGCAGCAGACCTCGGCGTTTGCAGAAATATCATTCTGAATCGCTATTCGCGTCTCCAGCTCGACGCTCGCCCTCCCGCGGCAGAAACATGAAGCACTCTAGTGAGGGTCCCCCGATTCTCCTGCTCAGCGGGCATGGTGGAACTGCTTGCGATCATGGCTCGCGAAATGTCGTTTCCGAATGCAAACAACACTCTTCACTGTCCCAACGTAGTGCTGCAACCGGTATGGGATTGTACCTTACTGGAGAGTTGTAGTATTGCGCATAGAAGCAAACGCAAGCGGTGTGCGTTTGCGTTAGAGTTGTGTGCCCCACGTTGTGCGTGTGCCTCATCGCCGTGCGCCTCATCGCCGTGCGCCTCATCGCCATGCGCCATCCAAGACCGCAATTCCGGGCTCCGCGCACGCGCAGTGTGGAACGCACAAAGCTAACGCAAACACACAGGGCTTGAGTTCGCTCGTACGCGCAATATTAAAACTCACTACTGTTTCACCGGCTTCCAACACCAACGAAACGTGCTGCAGTGAGCAGACGGGCAAGCAGGTAGGCGTTCCTTCGAACTGGAAAGGCTGAGATTGGCAAAACGACGGCGAGCAAATAGAAAAGTAAATAAATGTTATGAAAAAACTAGTAATTAAAAAAAGGCTTTTTTTTAACTTTTGGGCATTTGGTCTGGAAGTATATTGGCGGCGACTATGGAAGTTTCGCCGATTGTCAAAAGTCGCGACTTTGATAGCACAATATACTTTACCCACAATTAATGTAATTTTACATGGATTTCTCACATTAGCTAGAATGTTTTCATTGATTTTAGACTATTTTTATTTTATTTGTAATTAAAATGCAGCAATTGGAACCAGTGATGATAATTAGACCAGTTTTCATTGTCATATTTCTTAGCGCGTTTAAAATTAGATCATAAGCAACAAATTACATTAGAGCTTGAATAATTACTTATTCAAAGATGTGAATTCTAATATCATTATTATAATACAAATCGCGGCAATGTATGCCTCTAATTAACGCCAAGATCACGAGAACACTCTATTTAACCATAATAGTCTTTCCAGAAAGGTATAATTCTGTTTTCTTTTTAGCATATGAAAAACTCTGACATAGTTATCAAGATAGACAAACGGTTAAACGCTGGATGTAGTATGAAGTCCTATGCGTCACGCGGTGCTATAAAACACACACACACTTCAGCTGTCTGACTCGGATTTCGTCTTGGGCTGTTGCAGTGAGAGCAGCATTTATTAGTTTATGCGTTTCGTGGACATATTGTAAAAATTGGAATTATTCTTTTATTCTTGTGCTGGGATAATTGTCATTATTTTCCATGACAATTATCTGAGCGAGAAAAAGGCAGCGAGAACGCACAGATATCAGCACTGATGTTTTTCAACGACGACGAATATCAGCCTGGATCGAACAGTATGTCACAAAATAAAGTTTCCGCAAACAACTTTTCTAAGTAAATAATCACGATGTAAAACACATCTTGAGTCATGAAAGAATCCGAAATTAAGACATCTGTCGAGAAGTTAAATCCAAAATAGAGGTAAGTTTCGGTTTCGCTCCAGAATTAAAACGCGCATCCTTCCATAATTAATACACTAAACACCGTCCTTGTTTTCAGGTTAAAGAGGTGACCTGCGCTCACAAGACATTAGCTTCCTCGTATTACCAGAAATAATTTATGTCGCTCAGTGAAGCCAGCACACTAGACAGGCTCAACAGCGGCACGCATCTCTGACCCTCACTAAACCCGCCATCTTGGAAAATGAGTGGCGCCACCTATAGTTAGTTGGAGTCGCGAATACAGTTTGGGAGGAAGACAATATTTCACACGAGGATGACTCGAAAGTTCCTCTTGTGCAGCGGAAAGGACAATTAATTTCTTTGGGGTCGATTTTTGCGCACCGGCGGCGGGCCTAGCTATTAGTACAGCGATAACTCCACTCGTTTTTCGCTCGACATGAAATCACGAGAGGCCGACTATTGGTGAACCATACACTCTTTGAGAATCAAATGACCCGATTCAAGGCCAGTTTGTTCCCAGTTTAACCCAAATCACATCACGTCCCCATTTCGACGGGGAGATGGCAGTTTGACCCAGATCACATCGAGAAACGAGAAGGGGCAGCGCCCACCTGGAGGGGGAGGCGATGACCACCTCCGCCTGAACGTTGGGGTCCAGCACGACGGCCTCACTGGCCACCTGGATGGGGGGCGGGGTGAGGGCCGAGCAGCGGGCACCCATCGGGGAGGGGGCCCCCTCGGGGTGGGCTGGGGACGGGGAGGGGCCCCCCTGCGGCTGCTGGGCGCCGCTCGGGGGGTGCAGCGACGGGGCCAGAACGGGCCCCGCCCCGTCGGGGCACAGGAACAGGGGCGGGGCGCCACTCGGCCCACCCTGCTGCTGGCTCTGGGCCTCCATCAGGCGCTGCAGGGCCAGGGCCTCCTGCTGTTGCCTGCAGCCACGACACACACTGCGGTCACATATCCTCCAGAAATGGAGGCGAGAAACATAGCCGAGCATAAGGGAGGAAGAAATCATACCGGCTCGATCGTGCCAACAAGGACTAGGAAGCACACCATGTGTCCCGCACAAACCTGCTTCGTGTGGGGTTTGTGCTAGATTTTTATTATTTTTATGATCTATTTCTTTTTAAAGATTTTTTGCAATTTATTTTTATTTTATTATATATTTTTTTTTATACTTGTTTATTTATTTTATCAATTATTTTCATCCAGAACCTGCCACTCTTGCCAGCACCGTTCCATTCAAATAAAATCATTTACTTTTCCAGACCACCTGTGATAGCAGCTCAGTGGCTATAAAAAGGGTACTCACTGGACACCATATTTGAGTGCGCTGTTTGCAGCGCATACAGTATAGACCACATACAACGTAACCGCTTATAGTGCAGGACCGGGTATAACGCGGTTTTTTTAAACCACCGGTTCACCTCCCATAGAACTCCATGTAATTACATACCGCTTAAAATGCAGGCGCGCGAAGGGAAATACCGGTTATAGTGCGGTTTCTGGCACAGCTAGTCCGCCGGCCGCGCCGACGACCGGAGCAGCGAGCGCGCTTCCCTGTGCGACACTAGATAACGGCGCTGACGGCGCGAGCAGCAAGCGGCACTCGCGCGGCAGTTGCTCCAGAGCCGAGTTGCTCGAAGAAGCGGGAAGAAGCGAAAGGCTTCAGTTGCCATAGCGACGGAGGGACGCACGCACGTGCCTTTCACGTGCGTGCGTCCCTCCGCTGCGTTGGAAACAAACAACCGCAGCGACAGACCAATCGCAGGTCGAGGAGAAGTGTTTTGCACATGCCGGTCGCGGGTCGGCTGCTTCTATCCGCAAACGCGGCGTCGGTTGTGATCGTCGTCGTAGAGGGCGTTCATCTCATCGTTCCGCGTAAAAGCGCTATCCTTGACTGTGAATTTTCGTTGTGTGTCGCTATGATAACCCAGCACGTACTAGAAGGGAAGATCCACCTACTCGTGCGGCGATGTCGTGGCGGCGCTCTCAAGACGGCAGAAACGCCCGTGTCGTCGTGTTTGTTTACTTCGACTACAGTGGTGATTTCTAAGCATTTGTGTCCTCGAACATCGCCCGGATTTCTTATTTGGCGCATTTCATGCGTGCGCTCAAGTTCAAGGTATTACTGGCGCGTACCGTGTGAAGGATGCGAATTTTCACGCG